TGGGTTATCCAGGGGGCCCAATATACTCACAAGGGCTCCCAAAAGTGCAGGTGGGGAAGCAGGAAGCCTGAGTCCAAAGGAGGGAGGCTGAGTGGGGAGACAGACACCTGCTTCCAGGAGGGGGACGGCTGCGAGCCCCGGAGAGCGGGGGCTCCAGGGGCCTGAAGAGGTTGGGTTCGGACTCTCCCCGCAGCCTCTGCAGAACCAGCCATGCCCGCAGCTGGGGATGGCGAGACGGCTCAGACGCCTGACCTGGGGACCTGTAAGCAGCACGTGTCCGTCGTTCTGAGCCACCAAGCGTGCAGTTACTTGTTGGGGCAGCGACAGGAAGCTGATAGGTGTGTGCTCCTGGAGGCCATCCAGTGTGGGGGGGCACTGCCCAGGCAAGGGGACGCAGGCGCTGGGGGACAGCCTCCTTGTCTAGGCAAGAGGGTGCGGGACACGGGAGCCGGCTGGCGACTGTGCAGTAGTGACACTGTTATCGGCATTGAACTAGTGGTTGTGGAGAGGTCTGTCCAGGGAAGCCCTGGGCGGGCAGCCCTGTCAGGAGGAGCACGTGCCTGAAGAGCACTTCCCCCTGCCAGGAGGGCCTGGCCGGGAGACGGGGCCTGGGGAGAAGGCAGGATTTATGGGGGCAAAGCCCGCGGGGGCTTGTGGGGTGTGGCAGGCCCCATCTCAGCAGGAGGAAGGGCCTGGCCGGCCGCTCCCGCGTTCTCTTCTTTGTTTAATTTGCTTCCCCAGGGGAGAGCCAGTGTCCCCGCCACCCCCAGTAAAGTCCCTGCGGATAGGGAGCACAGGGCCATGGGAAGCCCCTGCCTGGGTGTGAATCCTGGCCCCGCTGTTTGGGTGACCTGGTCATTCAACCTTCCTGCTCCGGGACTCCCACCTGCGAGAAGGGGGGCACGGCACCTGCCTTGGGGGCCGAGTCGGGACGTGGCAGGTGCTGAGCAGGGACAGGGCAGGAGGAAGCTCGGCGGTGCTGGCCGGCTGCCCTGCCCCAGGCCCTGGTCCTTGCCGGTGCCAGGTGGGTGAGGCAGGCGTGAGAGCGGAACCAGGCCCCTGAGCTTTGTGGCCGTGCAGAGCTGAAGGGTCAGGGGGCAGACTGCATGGGCCCAGGGCCTCCAGGGCCCTCCTCTCCGGGACCCCAAGTCCCTGAACTCTGGGCAGGTGGGACCGGCGGCAGGCTGGCTGGGGGCCGCCCCTCTGGTCTTGCCTGGGGACTCAGTGAGCCGGCCTCTGTGGGCCTGGCAGGGATGGCAGAGGTGTGCTGGGCAGAGGCAGTGCTCCTGGCATGGGCTGGCACTTGGGCATACAGAGGGCCCCTCCCTGGCGCTGCTTGGGCTCTGCCAGGCCTGAAGGTGCCCGCCTGCATCCCAGAGCACCACTCCGACCCTGCGGCTGAGCAGAGCCTGCATCTGATTGTTGGTGCTATGAGTTTCTCACTTAATGTTTCTGAGCCTCAGTTCCCGCATCTGTAAAATGGGGTGCATGGCACAGCCCTGGCTGGTGGTCATCCCTCAGCACACGGGTCAGGGGTGGTGGTGTCCGTGGAGAAACAGCACGGAGAGAGGCTGGGTGGTGGCCGTGTGGGGGCCTTGTTCCGAGGCCAGCAAGGCCTTTGGAGCGACAGGGCTTGGGGTGAGTGAGGAGAAGCTGGAGCATCGTGGGGTGCATTGGGAAGGCCAGCCTGAAGCATGGAAGAGCTAGCTGTGCATTGGAAGAAGAGGAGAATCAGAGAGGGCATGCGACTTAGCCAATGTCACACAGCACACCAGCGGCAAACTGGGACAACAACAGGGATCCTGCTTCTCAGCTTGGTGCTGTCTCCCCGCTGCTGACGGGGTCAGCCATCCCAGCAGCTTCTGATTGGTGCTGCAGCCCACAGGGGATGCCCCAGGCTGGGGGGGACCTGCCTGGCCCTTGGCCTATGTTTGGGTGGGGGTGACATTTCCAAGTTGTCTTTCATTTGCCTTGAAATCAGGCACAAGTCCTTTGCAAAACAGGAACAGGTCTCTTTGGGCCTGACGTGAAATAGTACTGCTGTCACCTTGAATTAAAGAGCTGGACATGTCTCGAAGGAGTGGCATCCTGGCTATAAATACCCAGAATCAATCAGTGCGAGCCGCTGACAGCCGGCATGTTCACGTGTCACGGCAGATGGGAGGAAGGCTGGCGTGCGACTCATCTCGCCTTCCAGATGATTTCCTGTTTGCAGGGAGTGGGAGAGGCCCATCTGGGGATCAGATCGAGGGCTGTGACAGCCACCTGTGGGTCGCCAGCCCCCACTCGATGTGTCCCCTCAGCCACTTGGCCCCAGTGCTGCAGTGGCTCCAGAGGCTCGGCTCCCACAAACTGCAGCCATCAGGAGGCCTCCCGCCCGTGGAAGCTTCCGGAGTGGGGGGCCCCTCGCCTCTGCCTTTCATCTCCCTCTGCTTCCTTCCTGGGCACCTGGCTTTGCTCATAGTCATCTCATTCCTTTTCTTCTTTGAAGGCTCTTCCCAACTTGTACATGCATGTGCAGATGTCCACAGACACTTGCACACGTGTGTGTGCACACAGCCTCCTTCCTTGGCCTGCCCTGGGCACTGTCCTGCCAACTCGAGGTGTCTAGACTCTCCTGGCCTCCTCAGCCAGGTAGGGGCCAGAGGGCTTGGTGGTGAAGGAAGGCCCGGAGGCTTCCAGTTCCCCATTCAGGCCCAGCGCCCCCCTCCTGCCAGCCTGTGACCTTGGCCAGCTCATCAAGTCCCCGGGACCTCGGTGTCCCCATCTGTGTAACAGTATCTCCTCCTTTGGGTTTTGTGTGTCCACATAAAGCTCTTGCAAGCCCAGCAGAGCCGTTTGTTCTGGCTGTTTGCTGTTGTCTCCGCTCCTGAACTCTTAACTCCCAACATCGCCCGAGGCAGGTGTTGGGAGAGGGGCCTTGGAGCTGGAGGGCCCACCCTCTCCCTGACCCCTCCAGAGGCGGAGCCGTTGTCAGCCTCCTTAACCCCCTCCCCATGCCCGCCACCTATTCACGAGTGCGTCCCTCCCCGAGACGGGACCCGTGGCTTCTCTCCTGTCCAGGAACTGGGGCGGATGCTTTCGCTGTGATCACATCTCAGATGTATCCCCTCCCCTGGCTCATGAAATCCCCTGTTCCCCAAATTACATCCAGACAGCGTGGTACCAGGCATCTCTCTCTTCCAGCCCAGGGGCCCACCAGCCAGCCAAATGGGGCGTTTAATTGGAAAGAGAAGTTGGCGGTCTGCCCGGAAATCCTGAAGAAAGGCACCCGGGTGGACCTGGTTTTAAAGTTTGCCACACACCTTTGCCATGTATTTCTGTTTCAAAGACTTGAAGGGGTTCTTGGGACTATATGAGAATTAAAGACACCAGCCTGGAGCCACGCTCGGCAGACTCCCAGCCCTGGGGGTAGGGGGTGAGCTGCGAGGGGGTAGAACTATGTACTCAGGGGAAACCGAGGCAGTTCAGATCTCCAGATGGTGACTGAGGTCCTTTCTGAAGGCGGCACCGAGTGCCCGCCTTACATGCCCTCCTCACAGCTTCTCTGGGGCCGTCATTCATCCTGAATTCCTCCCATGTCTGGTCCTGCTGGACCTTTCCTGAGTTTACAGAACATGGGCATAAGCCGGCGCACAGCGGAGCGGCGAGTGAGTGAGGGCTGCCGGGCTGACGCCGAGGCTCCACAGCTTTACCTGCCGGGCAGGTGGGGACGCTCCTTTCATTGGGGACCTGGGGTCCATCTGGGCTGGAGACGGAGCATCTGTATGCAGAGTCAGGGTCACGTGTGCGCAAGAGCCTAGCCCAAGGGGAGGACTGGGGTGCAGGGGGTGGCCAGAGGCAGCTGGTCAGCAGGCCTGGGCCTTGGACCTCCGGTGGTGAGCTGACTGCTCCCCGCTGAGACCACAGCAGCAGGAATCCCATCAGCCGGGGTTGGTGGTCAGGGGAAGTCATGCAACCTGGTGACTATGGGCAAGTGGCCAGACCTCCAGCAGCCCTGGCTTCTTCCTCTGTAGCATGGAAATGACTGTAGCTACTTTGTCAGGTGCTAGGACATGAGGGCAGAGGGCAGAGGGCCCAGTCGGAGAGGCTGGGCCACCCACCCAGGGCAGTTTCTGTCAGTTCAAGGGCATTCCACCTCTGCCCTTCATGAGCTGTCTGACGGGGGGCAAGTTTCTAAAGCCCTGTTCCCCCAGGTCCTCACCTGTGAGATGAGACAGGAACAGTCCTTCCCAGGGTGGGGGTTCAGTGGGTGAGTCCACATGTGGGGCAGTGTCTGGGCGATGCTCAGTGTGGGTCACCTGTCACTCATATTATGACGGGTGGTGGCGATGGTGGTGGTGGCAGCGGCAGCGATGGCAGCCTGAGCACCTGTTATATGCTAGGGTCTGGCCTAGGCACAGGGATGCTACCATGAGCAAGACCAACCCGGTCTCCACTCTCCTGAGAATTAGTCCTAATAAAGGTAAAGCAGTGAATAAGTAAACCAATAAATACATAAAATCATGGGACAGAGGGGCGAGCTAGAGAGCCAGGTGAAGGGTGGGGTGCCTCTGCAGGCTCTGGGAGGGTGACCCTGGGGTGCGGGGGAAGGGGTGGGGAGGGACAGCCCCCTCTCCCTCTTCCCTTCTGTGGTTCTCTGGTTTTAACCCTCGCGGGGAACCTGCACCCGCGCCCTCTGTGGCCCACTAGCTTTGCGGTCCTCTCTGGGGCTCCGTGGTCCCTTCCGTGCAGTGTGTGGGGGGGATACCACCAGACATGCCCTTGCCCCCTGCTGCCCCTGGGATCCCAAGCATCTCGGGCCTGTGCCGGTGGCCTTGATCTGCCACAGAGCAATGGGCAGGACGCGGTCGGCACAAGGGGCCCCACCAGTTCACAGCCCGGCACCGCCGTTGCGGCCCACCTGACACGGAGCTGGCTCCAGCGGCAACTTCCCCCGAATGAAACAATCTTTGGAATCTGCCGTACATCATTCGCCATGACGTCTTCTGTTTAAACAGCGGCAGCCGGCGGAGGGTGTACACTGAGGTGGTGTCCAGGAAGAGGGGGCTCGCTTCCCGGCCCCGGTCCCAGGCCCCGTGTAAGGCCCCCTTGGAGAAAAGCAGGCATATGGAACCCATTTGGGAAATTCTTTCTGCATAAATCCCTTTTTCCAGGTAAGACACACACCCGTATTGACTGTGAAAGATGAAATAGCTCTCTCGCTCTGTCGGCTATGTTTTTATGGATCTTAATTAAACACATGCCCTCCCCAGGCTGGGAAGTTGAACCCTCTTTGAGCGGCCCCTTCTCAGGAGGTGATGCTGGCCCAGCGGGAGGGCCAATTATAACCTCCCGTCCTCACCTCCTCCCGGGACCTCCCAGACCCTCCAAGCACTCAGCAAATGTGTGCTCCACAGAGGGGCTTTGAGTCCACGCCCGGAGAGCGTTAGGCCTGTTCCAGGCCCAAGGCAAGTGGTGGTCAGGGTCCCTGGCTGACAGTGGGAAGGCCTCTGGGGACGAGGGCTTTCGGACTTCATTGCCCTTCGCTGCCCTCCCTTCACACCGACCATGCACAGACCCCCAGTGTGAACTGGATGAAACTGCTTGGGCTGGAGCAGGGGCGCCCACGTGGACGCTTGCTCTCCCCGCAGCAGCCTCAGTGCTGGCTGGCGGGGGCCGCGGAGGACAGCAGCCCCTGCCTAGATGTGCCGGGCGTAGTTGTTATGTTCCTTATTTCAGTTAACAGTCACAGAAGCCAAGGGTGGTTGGTGGGATCCAGGAACAGGGTGGAGAAGTGAGCTGCCCAGGGTTGCCCAGCTGGGGCAGGGAGGGGCATCAAAGTCCCCGAAGCCTGTGTGCCTGGCCCCCCTGGGGCCATGGCCGGGAGGCTGCCCATGGGTCCATGGTTCCCCATGCTGTGCCCCCGGCTCGGCAGCGGGCCTCCCTCCCACTGTGGGGCCCCTGCCTGCTGGGGTCTCCAGCACACAGACGTCTTCCTGTGTCCACTGAGAGGGCCCCCAGTGTGCCCCCTTCACCTTTTCCAGCAATCTGGGCTGGGTGTGATGTCTCTCTGTGCAGTGCTGGCATGATAATCAGGGGACCCCAAGATTTTAGGGGTGCCCTTGGTTTGAGGAGAAGGCTGCTTTGTTCTCTTCTGTACTTTGGGTTTCTGCTAACAGTTCATTTTAAGGAAGAGATTCATTGATTAAAAACAGTTTGCTGACCTCGGGGTTGTGCCTTCATGAGTGGGGAGAGGGCCCACCTCTTCCTGGAAGTGCTCCAGTCGTGCCCCAGAGCCCCCAGCCAGGGGAAGGGGGAGCCCTCTACCCACTTTGGTTTTGAAGTCAGGCTACTGGAGTTGTAATTTACATACAGCCCGATTCATTCTTTCCAGGTGTGCAGCTCGATGCATTCTGACAACCCTACGTAGTCCTGCAGCCACCGCCACAATCAAGATACGGAAAGTGTCCATCCCTCTGCACGCCGGGCCTGCCTGGCTCATCTGCTTTCCATCCCCATCATCGTGTCTGTTCCGGGATGTCATGTCAGAAGAAATCATAGACGCCGCTGCCCGCCGAGCCCGGCCTCTTTCACTGAGCACCACGCCTGTACAATGCAGCCGTATTCACAGGGACAGCGTCTGCGCCTTTGTAGGCTGGGTGGTTCCAGGGAAGCCAGAGCTGACCTGACCTGTGGGGCCCTTGGAGCAGCTGAGCCCACTCAGAAGTGGAGTGGGGCCAGTCCAGGGCCTCCTGCAGTCTGTGGGCAGTCGGGGCCGGCTCCATGGAGCCGAGGCTGATGGGCGGTGCAGAGAGCTCACGGCTGCGGGCGGCAGAGACCCCTGCCAGAGGGGGTGCAGCAGGAAGATGGCCCCGGGCTTAGTGTTTCCATGGTCTGATTGAAGATGGCAGGAGCCCCCCTGAGTGTCACGTCCCCCTGTGGCCAGGTCCCAAGTGGGGAAGGGGCACCTCCCCATGAATCTTCCCTCATGAGAAAACTTCCAGGGGCACCCCCAGGCCTGGCCATCTTCCTGACGTTCTGCTGGCCAGGGTCACGTCACATGCCCATGTCTAATGCCACAGGAAGGTCAAGATTCATAGGCTTCTCGGCTGGGGAGAGTAGCCCACACCTGGCCCAAATCGGGGCCCTACTGGCAAGGAAGGGAGGGGGCACCTGTGCGGCGGGCAGAGTCTGCTAGATGACTGGGTGAGGGCCCCAGCTGCCGTGCCATGGCACGGGGGTTTTCTGTGCACAAAGGACCCAGGCATGAGCAGGCCACCAGGGAGTGGGTCACGGCCGTGGCCGGCAGGCCGCAGTGGGCTCTTCCTGCAGCTTTGGGCTGGATGAGCCTTCCTGGGTATTTCTCAGAGGAGGGCCACCAAGGAGCAGTGCGTGAGCCTTGCCCGCCTGCCTCCGTCTCTCCGTTCTCCATGCCTGCATCCCCCCGGCTGTCTTCCAAGTGGTAGTGGAGCTCTCCCTCTGGGCCAGCTCTGGGCCAGGGAGAAGGGGAGGGACTAGGCTCTGTCCCCAAGGACCCCACCACAGGGGCCTCACAACTAAGGCGTGGAGGTGTGTGCCCGCTTAGCACCTCACCTGTAATCACTAAGTACACCTCCAGGTGAAGATTTGCCTTTGGTCCTCAAGGAGTGCCGGTTTCCCCTTGATTACAACCCCCCAGCAATCAGCTAACTAGCTGCAGCCCATCAGCTAACTCTCCTCTCTCTACTTCCTGTGTTTAATTAAGACACATACAAGCTGGATTTGGAGGAATAAGGGTATCTAGGTAGGGCTGGCCTTCTCTGTCCCTCTTGTCTGACATGATGCAGGCCACGGAGAGCCACTGAGCTGTGCGTGGTAATCTGCCTTGACTTTTCTTGCTGGCAGATTTTTAGATGTTTCTGAAACACCTGACCAGGTCCGTGGCCAAAAGCCTCAAGCTTTGGCCCGGGACTGTCTTGGCTGGTATCATTTGAGGATTATCGAGCCTTAATTATGTTTGATTGGCTAATCTCCTTGTTAGCAACATTTGTGAAAAGTGAAAAAAAAATGATTTGGCTGCAGTGGAATTTTCAAGACTTACAAGGAAAGAATCTTGGCTGCTCCCATCGTGGGAATAAGAGGGGCCATCAGCGGCAGCTCCCCCCGGGCGGCACGGAGGGGCAGGAAGGCAGGTGAGTGAGATGCCTCCTCAGGTCATGCGGGCATCCGTAGGCCCGTCTCCCTCTTCATAGTGACTCTGTTCAAACATACCTGGGTTAGGAGATGCCTACTCAGAAGCTGGGGCACTGTCCACAGGGATGTGAAGGGCTTCGGAGACGTGGATTTTAGTTGTCAAGTTTTTAAAATGCAGCATGGGAAGGACCCAGGGCTGCTGTGAGCCTGGGACACATGGGTGCTGCCGAGTCCCGGCTGTGTCCTGTGCCGTCTCCCATTTCTCTGGAGAATACGGCGACACAGGAGTGTGGCAGATTGCCTTGGGACAATGGACCCCTCTCCTGTCGGGCGGGCTGCAAGGCCCCAAACAATAGGCCTGGGCCGGCCCCTCTCCTGCTGCCCACGGTCTGAGACAGATGCCCAGGAGCCCCCTGTGAGCGCCCCGGAGGTGACCTTGGGGGCTTCCCCCTCACTAGGTGGAGGAGCCCCAGAGAGGGAGGGAGGTGGACAATGGGGGCCTCATGCCAGGCGCCTGGCCTCCGGCTCGCGACGTGGGCTTCCTGGGGAGAGCGCGGCCTGGCAGGTGCTGCTATTGTCTTGGGGCCCGGGGGCCCTCCCCGGGGTCTCCCAGCTCGGTGGCAGGAGAGGCCTGGAGGTCCAGGCCCTCTTGCCGCTGCATGAGGAGCTGGCCTCATTCAGGCCTTGTGGGCCCAGCCCAGCCCTGCAGTTGGCCTCCGAAAATGTCATTCAGAAAAGCAATCACTGTTGAGTGGCCTTGAGCAGTACCAGGATTTTGAGTGTCAGGTTTTATGACCAGACCTGCTGTAGGAAATGACTGCGATGTGACATCCTTCCTTGAGCAGAGGCACAAGTGGAGTTTTCTGGAGAAATGTCACCTTAGGAGGATGAGGGTAAGCCTGGAGTGTCCTTTCTCTGCCAAAGGGTTCACCCTGGGAGGAAAACGGCAGCGTGAGCTGAAAGCAACCGATGAGTATGTCAGTGCGTCCTCCATGCAAGGGAGGAGCAGCAGCTGGTGTGTGTGTGTGCACACGTGAGCACGGGGGGGGGCGTCTGAGCATGGGTGTGTGTGCATGGGTGTGTGTGAACATGTGTGTGTGTGAGCATGTGTGTGTGTGTGTGGGTGCACATACCCTGTGCTAGGCACTATGCTGGGGACTCTTTCCCTCTGATTATTCGTAGCAGCCTTATTTGCAACAGCCCCAGACTGGAAACAACATAATTTTCCCAAAAGGTGAATGTGGTAAATGCCGCTCAGCAATAGAAAGGAATGAACTTTACACACATAACTTGGACACCAATCAAAATGCCCCAGACCTAGTGGCTCAAATCACAGAAATTCATCTCCCCAAGCTCTGGATGCTGGCAGTCCAAGATCAAGGTGTCAGCAGGGTTGCTGTCCTCTGAGGCCTCCCTCGCTGGCCTACAAATAGCCACCCTCTCACTGCGGCCCCACCTGTGTCTTCTCTGTGCACACGCATCCCCGGTGCCTCTGTGTAGGCCCTAGACTCCTCTTACAAGGACACGGGTCAGCTGCGCCAGGGCCACCCAACAACCCAGCCTCATGTGAACTCAGCTCCTTAAAGACGCTCAAAAAGCCACATTCTGGGGGACCAGGGGGTTAGAGGTCCAACATACGAACCTTGGGCAGGACACCCTGCAGCCCACGAGAGATCTCGAAGGTGTCAGGCTGCGTGAAGAGCACAGTCTCCAAGGCCCATGTGCAGGATTCCATTCCCTTGACATTCAGAGTGACAAAGGTCAAGAGATGGAGGACACAGTGGTGTTCCTCCGGGGTCGCGGATGGCGCATGCCGGTGAGCATGACTTGAGAGATGCAGAATCAGAGATCCTTGTTGTGAAAATTCTGTGTCTTGATTGGGATGGATGTGGGGGATATTTGCAAATATTTGTTCAGCTGAGATTTACGAAGAACTTGCTGGGAAAAGGCACCATTGTCTGACTTTACAGACAAGGAGACAAGACTTCGGAGAGCTCGTTACTTGACCAGACTCCTCAGACCCCATGTCACACCTGCGGGGCTGCACAGCTTGGGTCTTTTCTCCTGTCCACTCACCCCAAGACCATTTCCTTCCTCATCCTGGCTGGTTCTGTGACCTGGGAACATGACTTAGCCATGCAACTGTACACTGCTAAGGTCACCTAGGGGCTGGGCGAGACCATGTGGGGGTGGCCCTGGGATCAGCATGCATGACCAGGAATTGTGAATGTAGCCCAACCCACATGGCAGCCCCGTCAGGGGGCTCGGAGCCCGACACACCCCCACGCACCTCTGGCATTTTGCTTTGAGATGCCCCACCCCCATTTTGGGCTGCTGGTCCGAGCTCCTTGCGGAGACTGCCAGGCATAGGCATTTCACAGATGGTGAAACTGAGCTTCCAAGAGAGACCTGCTCGTGGCTGCACATCTGTCAGGGCAGAGCTGGAGTCCAGGGTCTTGTAGGACTATTGCCTTTTTGTGCCAGCAGGGTGGCAGGTGGGCCTGAAAGAGTCTCTGGTGGGAGGATGGTGCCAGCGAGGGGAGCACCCAGCAGGCCTGCAGAGAGCCTGGACCCCTGGGTCCTGGGCCTCATGTGCGTGCTGGGCAGGGGTCCGAGCCGGGCTGGGGCTCCCTCCACGGTGTCAAGGGCATTGTCAGGGGCACTATCTACCCTGACTGTCACGGAGGATTTCAGCGGGCTGGCAACCTGGCTGCTGCAGGGCATCTAAAGCGGACGTGGCTCTCTCAGCAGTGTCCCCAGAGACCCCCACTCGGGGAAGTGGGCAGTTCACTCCCAGGCAGCTCGGCCCTTTCATTTGGTGGGTGCCCGAGGGCCTGGGGAGCCGGCCGCTACGGGCACTGGGTCACTGGCAGGCAGCTGGCCATCCTCCCCAGGCCTCGGCCTCCACATCTGAAAGGCTGGGGATGAGGAGACCAGCTCTAGCTAGTTCTCAAGCTGTGCCTGGCACCGGCCTGTGACCATGTGGCCGGGGGCCCGGGGCCAGTGATGCTGGGACAGTCGCTGGGCCATGGTGGGGGGTGGGGCCCTTTCTGCTTGGTGCTGTTGAGGCGCAGGATCGTGCAGGGCCTCCGGTGATGTGGCCGGTCTGTGGTGCTAAGGACAGGAGGTGAGCCCGTGGGAGTAAAGTGGTGCTGGGGTCTCCCCAGGGGAAAAAGCTGAGCTAGTGGCCCAGGGGGGTTTGGTGAGGACTGGCTGGCCAGGTGTGCCCCCCACACCTGTGCGCTGCACAGTGACGGGGACCGTGTCTGCCTGGTAGGCCCTGGTCCTCCTGGCCCGGTTTCCTCATCCACAGCCAGGAGCACTGATGTGGCCTCCGTCCACCAGCCCTCGGCTCTGTATGCTGGGCCTGCCCGGCTGCCTTGGCAGGACCCGGGGCCAGAGGAAGGGGCTGGGGACGGGGTGGCCAGACTGCGGGGTGGCTGGGCTGGACGGTGGGTCGGGCAGTTGGCCCGGGCCTCACAGCAGCCGCTGATCTGGCCGTGGTGGCTGTGCTCTGTCAGACAGTTGTCCCCCTCCCACCCCTGGCCGCCTGTGACGAGCGGGCTTTCAGGAGATATGACAGCCACTGGCAGGGGGTCCCTGGCCCCAGTCCGCGTCTCCACACTTGACTCGCTCGGCGTTCACTGGCCCGAAATAATGCCCCCAATGCGAGTCGGCGGACAGAACATTTGAGTGGACGTTTGTTTTTTTTTACCTCCTTTTTAAATACATTAAACATGCATTACTGGATTTCTACCCGGTTCCTCTGACAGCTGTGGAAAAATAAAGAAAATTCGGTTTGAACTAAAAAAGCCGGGGCTTAATTTATGTCCCGCACCTTTGTCCGCGGTTCTTTCTCCTCTTCCGATGGAAAGGCCCCAGGGAGCGGGGACAGAGGCTCTGCCACCCCACGTGGCTCCGTGGTGCCCGGGTCTTAATAGGGGCGCCCAGTGGCCAGCACGGAGGGGAGTTTTCAGATGGAAATGCGAGGAAACAATGCAATCATCTGTCTCACAATCTGTTTTGAAGGGAAAGAGCGCGAGGCAGGGAGGAGAGAGGGCGGCGAGCAGCGCTCAGCCCGTGAGGCTCATTCAGCACGTTCACAGGGAAGGACAGATGTCGGGGATGCCGACTCGGACAGCCTGGGCCTGCAGGAGGTTTTTAGACTTTTCTGAATCGCGAAGACAAAGTGTTTTAATAACGCAGGAGACACATGGATGGGGGGGCTTTTAACTCTTTCCGGTCTCGGTGACTCTGCTCTCTCTCTTCCCTTCTTCTTCACTCCCTCCCTGCCTGCCTCCCGCTCTCTCTTTCTCCCTTTTTCTGAGTCATTCTTTTTGGAAGGGTCTTTCTCTGGGCCGAGGATGGAGGAGGGGGAGGTGGGTACCCACCACCTCAGCCTCCGGAACTGCAAGCAAACCACAGTGCCATTTCTGTCCCGCCTGGTGGAGCGGTTAGGGGGCCCTCGAAGCGGGGTGTGTATGCCCCTCTCCACCCACCCTCCCTGTCAGGAGGAGGGGCCCGTGCTCCTGGAACACTGGGCTCCCTCCGAACCTCATAGTGGAATGGTCGGGCGGAAAGAGGCACTTGTTCATGCAACAGACCTTTGTTAAGCCCTGACTGCACACGAGGGGCCGGGAAAGCAGGTGGGCTGAACGTGCTACCCGTCCTTAAGGGGCTGCTGGGCTGACGGAGGAGGCAGGTGGGCGGAGGAGTAAAGAGGAGGCCACGGCCTGCTGGGAGAGGCCCCTGCTTGAGCTCTCTGGGAATCAGGGGGCTGTACCCCAAAGGAGGCGCTCTGCCTGGTCTTGGAGCTTATCAAGGGCAGCAGCCCTGGGAGGCGGCTGGGGTGGACGCCAAACCTCCCATTGGGCAGACAATGAAACTGAGGCCCAGGGTGACAGGCCCACAGGGTATGCCAGGACTGAGTCTGAGAGCCCAGACCTGGGGTCTGGCTCACCCTATGCTTGCTGGCCGCAGTGAAGGGCCCCTGAGGCCATAGGATGAGACAGCACGTGTGGACGCCGGGCACATGCCGGGGCACTGGGAGGGAGGTGCCCAGAGGCTTGTGCTGCACGCAGCCACAGGGTCACCCTGGTGGGGGGCCTGTTTGAAGGCAGAGCTCTTTGCTTTTTAAAAGCACTTCTCACTGTAGCTATTTGTGAGTGTGAACTCAGCAGGTCAAGCACATTCGTAACATCGTGCAGCCACCACTGCCCACCCCCCCACGACTTTGCCAATGGCTCTGCCAAGCCTCCCTGCTTCCTGAGCCCAGGGTGGCACCTGAGCTTTCTCTGTCTCTGCAACTCCGGCGACTCTGGGAACCTCCTACAGGCAGAATCCCACAGACTCTACCTGTGTTCGGCGTCCTGCGCCCAGCGCACGGTCCTCAAGGCTCTTGGGTGCTGTCCTTCGTGCCAGGAAGTTCTTCTTTTCAGAGGCCAGATAATATTCCATTGTACGGAAGGGCCACATTTTTTTTGTTCCTCTGTTGATGGCAGGGACCTTTTATGGTTTTAAATTATGCTTTTCCATAGGCATGTGCCCGTGGTGCTGGGACCCCAGCGGGAGGGAGAGGGCCTCCTGGGTACGTGGAGCACTGGCACCCTGCAGAAACCCCAGGGAGGGGTCAGGGGCAAGCGCCTCCCTGTTGCCCACTGGGGATGACCAGCTGGCGCATATGCAATCGCACACACCCTGAGTGGGTCCCTTTCTCGAGGCAGGACATTATCTGAAATCAATCACCAAGAAATTATTAAATGCCTACCGTATTTCCTGGTATAGCCCAGGGGGGTGCCAGGTGACACTGTGTGGACGCAGGGTGACTGCTTCCAAAGCCTTTTCTCCACTCCATTCCCCCACTGTGCCCCCCCCATCTCCCTGGGTCCACATCTTCACCCAATTCCTCAACTTTTCAGTGGGAAAAGTGTGGAGCCCAGCATGGGACGGGCATCCCGAGGCCCCCGGGTGGTTCTCCGCCTGATCTGCCCTTGGCGGCCCAAAGAGCATCAGGCGGCCACCAGCCAGGTGGGCTCTGAGAGGGTCTGCTTCTCTGGGTCCGGAAGGACGGGAGCCTGTGGCGAGGTGACAGGAAGAGCAGGGGTGCAGGCGGGCCTCCCCAGGCCAGCGTGAGCGGGGCACCTTGGCTCACAGACCGGGGCTCACGCCTGGGGCTAGGATCCCCTGTGCAGCCAGACAAACCCCCCTTCCCCACTTACCAGCTGGGTGAGCCTTGCCAACACTCTAGCCTCTCTGAGCGTCGGTCCCCAGATCTGCAAAGTGGATCTGATGAGCACCATGAGGTAACGGCGCTGACGCATCTCCCGTGCCCAGGGCCCTGCGCCATCCGGAGCAGGCATGCGGTTACGTCAGCTTTTGGAAGATCTGGGAAGTTCCTCCTCTGGTGTCAGATGCAGGGACACTTAGCAGGAGCTTGGGAAGGCGGGCTGGGTGGGGTCTCCTGGAAGGGACTGCGCAGGTCACAGAGCTTGGCTCAGGGGGCCTCCCCAGAAAGCTGTCCTCTCTCCCCAAAATGCTTCCTCCTCGACTCCTACATGCAGCTCCTGGGCTTCCTCCTCTAGGAAGCCTTCCCTGCCCAGGACAGACCGTTATCCTGCAGCTACAGGAGGGCCATGGGCTCATTTCCCACCTGCTGTGGCTCCCTCTTTGCTCCACGGGGCAGGTTTGCTCCCCTCTGTGTCCCCAGCTCCCGCCTGGTGCTGGAGACCTGTTGACATAAGGGAGGGGGATCTTGGGGCCTTTCACACCGACAGGCAGGCTGCACAGGCAGCACGGATCCCCTAACCCTCGCCTGTTTGCAGCTGGGTGGAATGTTGCCTCTGGTGACCCAGTTTGGGAAATGGGGTGAGTGTCTGGGGCTCTTGGGGCCCCGCTCCGGTTCTGACCGGGGAGCTTCTAGAGGGGCTGCTTCTAGAGGGGCTGCTTATGAGTTTCCCTACTTGTCAACCAGGGCAGGGCCTTCCGGCACCGATGCCTGGGGCGTGCCGGGGTGAGCTGGGTGAGGCTGCTGCCGTCTCAGAATGAGTTTGCTTTGGGGGAGGCTGTGCGGAGGGTGGTCACGGCGTTTGAAGGAAGCCCAGGCCCACTTCTGCGCATTTGCCCCCAGACAGCAAGCTCACCACTTCCCAAGGCAGGTCCTGACTGTGGGTACTCGCTTCCTGACTGTAAGCTTGTCTGCTCCCTGAGGCTCCCACCCGGCTACCAGGCCAGGGGTGCACACCACCCCAGGAGAGGCCACACAGCTTCTTGGGATGCACAGTGCATGTGCCGAGAGGCAAACGTGAGCCTGGAGATGGTGGATAGAGGAGCTTTTCTGGGTCTGCTGTAGTTTAGATAAGGTGTAGTGCCTGGGCACCCCCATGCCAAACCTCTTTGCCTTACTCTAAGTCCCTAAAAGGGGAGTGGCGGGGTCAAAGGCATGCCTCTGTCTGGGCTGGGGTTGCATGTTGTCAAAGTTCTCTCCAGAAAGGGGGGAGGGTCCCCACGTTAGACCCCACAGCCGTGCTTCTGCTTTCCAAATCTTACCAAGCTGGTATTACCATTCTTCTGCCATCTTTGCCCATTTAGTAGTTGCAAAATGGTATTTTTGTTGCCTATGCTGTAAGTTGCTTTTCTTTGATTATTGGTAAAATTTAACATTTTCCTTACCTGTGTTTAGGGACCACACTTTCCTTTTATGAATTACCCAATTAATCTTTGGCCCATTTGTCTATTATCGTGTTTTTCTTTCTTGGTGAGTTATAAAGGCTCTTTGTACATTATGGATATGAGGAAGGGTCAGGGTTTATTCATGGATGACATTTCTCTTTTCCAGAGAAGGCAAACAGAACATTCACCCCCTTCTAAAAGTCAGTTAATGTTTGAAATTCTTTTTGTCTATTTTCCCCCAGTTTTCTTTGCATTTTGCAGCTGTCTGGGCACAGATGCCCACGGGGGCTACATAAAGCACCAAGGAAAGCTTGGTCCTGGAGCAAAGGGCCCCAGTGTAACAGCCTTTGTGGGTCCTAACGTGCAAGAAAGGACGTCTGAGCTCATGTTCTCTCGGTGCTTTCTCTGGCCAGCAGACGACTGGGCAGGGCTGAACCATACCATCTCCTTCCCAACACGCATGGCCCCTGGCCCCGAAGAAACACGCAGCCACTTCTTCGGGGACAAGCAGATTTTTCAAACAAAGTTTGCCAAATAAGCACATTTTTTTTTTCCCCTTGAGGGCAGATGCAAACGGTCTTTTCAAATCAGTTTGGAGGAAAATAAATGAGCCCCCGCTGGGGCTTCAATAAATCTTTGCGTAGCCACAAGGGTGAGTTTTGGGCCCGATGAAGGGCCCAGTGTGTGGCTTATGAATGATGCCCAGTGATGGCTCCCCACCCCCGCCTTTCTCTCTTCCCCTCGTCTGTCCCCCAACCCAATTTAAAATTGTACATTAAGGCCTGAAGACAAAGGGACCTTTGGGCATTTCTCCCCCTCCTGGAGGGTCTCTTGGTGAAATATTTGTCGTGGCTGTGCTCCGCGCGTGACCGGGGCCCAGGTCTCTGAGCCAGGGCCTGTCTCCAGGAGATGATCCATGTCCAGACCTTCTGCCCGGAGGCTGGAGAATCCCCACCCGGCAGCAGAGGACTCTGGTCCCCAAGGGGATCATCTCCTTGCCACCCTGCTGGGTACCAGGGAGTGCCGGCAGCAGCATGGCCTGGCTCACATAGTCACTGCCTCCTGACGTGTCCCTCTGCACTGACCCCATCCACTGGCCAAACT